GGGGGGGGAAGGGGGCAGCACACTAAAGGTGTTACCGTCATGTATAGCATGCATTTAGCTGAATGCCCAACATTTTGCCAAAATTTCAGAGAATTGAGATCTATCTGTTTTGTTCATGCATAGAGTTGGGTTCCACCCTAAAAGCAATATAAAACAAAGGCACGTCGGATGACGCTTGGGACAGAAATTAACATTCTTTATGAATCCACCAAGGAGATGGAGAGCCCAGCAAGGCAATTTCGTTAATGCATTCCATATAAATATCACTGCAGAGCGTTTAATAACCCAACTGTGTTGAGTCAGGAAAATCCAGCAAGGACACAGAGAGTCTCCAGGGGACTCCGTGGCCAGGAAAGCTGGGAAATATGACTTGGCCAGCTATTTTCTCAGCCTGGAAGCTCTAGAGGAACTGGCTATAAATAATATTTTTATGCAGTAATATAATGGGATAGATTCTATAGGACCAACTAATGATGGAAAATGTATATTATGGAAGCAAAAAACAAACTTTGCTACTTTTTTTTAAATTTTTTTTATTCCCCCTGATGGTCAACTCTACTCAAAACTTACATTTCTGCTTTGAGTGATGGACGGTAAGTTAAAGTGGAACTACACTGCATCTGAGCACCCCAAACACTATTTAATTCAAAGCATACCCCCCCATCCATCCGCGTCTCCAATCTCTATTTTGTTGGGAAATCCCTTTGACCCCCCCCCCCCCAGCATTACCACCCACATGGAAGTACTGTATATAAAACCCAAAAAAACTGTGTCTACCCAGATGGAAGAAAAATATATTTGAAATATATTTTTAAAATATTCTTCCCAAATATATTGACATATATTTGAAATACTACAATTTTGGCCGTATTCAATATATCTCAAAATATATTTCAACAAATATATATATATACTATATGTTGAAATGCGTTTTTATTACAAAATATCTAAAAAATATTTTTAAAAATACATTTTCAAATATACTATATGTCTTAAAATTTTTGGAATGCATTGACAAATATATGTAAAAATATATGTTAAAATGACTTTTTTATATGTTAAAAAAAAATCAGAAGAATATATTTAAAAAAAATATATTTCGAAAAATATTTTTCATATATTTTGTAATATATATGTTTCAGCTATGAATGAACAGAGTCAGCGATCGGTATGGATCACTGACTGTCCATTCAGAAAAAGGAAGGGGCCAGTAAATGACACATCTACCGGCCCCTTCCCTGCTCTAAATCCTGACAGATACCCCCAGCAGCTGTCAGGAGAGGGGGGGAACCTAGCAGAGCTGCGGGGGGGGGGGGGGGGGTTTGGCCGGGAAAGAGCAGGGGGGTCTGAGAACACAGGGGCCAGAGAGCAGTGGGAGTCAAGGAGCAAGGGGGGAGTTCAGTACAGGGAACCGGAGGGAAGAAGAGTGACTGGGGAGTACGAGGGGCACCAGAGAGAAGCTGGAGAAGCTGAATTCCTGTGGGAGGGAGAAGAGAAAAAGCTGGTAATCAGCACCTGTAGGAGGAACATGAAGAGACCAGTTCCCCTGTATGCAGCCTCCCCCACTGCTCCTCCTATCCAGGCATACAGAGGGGCCGCGCAGGCCCTTGCAGCACGGGGCCGGATCGCAACCGCGACCCCCTGTAGGTACGCCCCTGCTGACCGTGCTGTAGCTGAAAGACGGCTACAGCACGGTCATCCAGTCTGTGTGAGGAAAGAAGAGCCGATAACCAACAAGGCTATCAGTGCAGCCCATCAGTGCAATGTATCTGTCCCCATCAGGGGCGGACTGACCATTTGGAAACTCAGGCACTGCCTGAGGGCCTGGGGTCAGTAGGGGGCCCCATGAGATGCCCCTGGAACCTTTTTCATAGGCTTTTTTGAGTTTGGGCAGGGACACAGGGGCCCCATGATCCCTTATTGCCCGGGAGCCCCAAGAGTTGTCAGTCCGCCCCTGGTCCCCATTATTGCTGCCTGATCAGTGCCGCCTCATCAGTGCCCATCAGTGCAGCCTATCAGTGCCCATCAGTGCAGCATATCAGTTCCCATCAGTGCAGCCTATCAGTTCCCATCAGTGCAGCCCCATCAGTATACATCAGTAAAGAATAAAAATTACTTATTTGCAAAATTATATAACAGAAACTAAGATAAAAAAAAATTTGGGGGGGGGGGGGGGGGGGTCTTTTGGTCTTTTTTTCGTTGCTTTAGCAAAAAATTAAAAAAAAACCCAGTGGTGATTAAATACCACCAAAAGAAAGCTCCATCTGTCTCAAAAAATGATACAAATTTCATATGGGTACAATCACGGGCATATTTACCAGAAGGCAAACAAGGCATTTGCCTAGGGCTGCATTTTTTAGGGGAGCAGCACTGCCCCCTGGAAGAAGGGACATATGCAGCATGAGGAAGGTGGGGTCCGTGAGAGGCTGCGGGCTGCTTGATGGTGCCTGCAGAGCCTGATTGTCATTCCTGGGGTTGTCCAGAGCTGTGAAGGTGTGTCTTTCTCTCTTTCGCTGGGGGTGGGTGTTAGTGGAAGGCTCTCTCGGGTGGGGGTGGGGATGGGGCAGGAGTGTTGTTGGTCACTGTCAGGCTGTCTCTGCGGGGGAGTCTGGTGTTGGTCAGCCGGGGAGGGGGGCGTCTGATTTTCGTGTTGCCTAGGGCAGCACAAAACCTAAATACACCACTGGGTACAATGTTGCATGACAGCACAATTGCCATTCAAAGTGTGACAGCGCTGAAAGATGAAAATTGGCCTGGCAGCGGGGGGGGGGGGGGGGGGATGGGGGGTGAAAGTGCCAGGAATTGAAGTGGTTAATACAGATACTTAGAACATCAATGAAAAGCTAAGTATTTTTAGCATAACTTATGTCATTTGTAAAATAAAAAGTCCGCTCTATGATGATATTATATTGGGTAATTGTTGACATGCGGCTCTCACGTGTTTTTTTTTTTCTTTCTATCCATCTCTTGGTCTATCAGAAATCCAATAAATATAGATTTTCCTACGATGTTGTCCTCATCAGGACTTCCTCTAATGAATTTAAATGATACATTTGTTAACGAAGACAGTGAATAAAGAAATTAAATTTTACAATTCAAGAAAATGAAAGATCTTTTATAAACAATTGAAAGACAGACAAAGGGACAATAATCCAGGTATTGATAACAGTGCCACTCATAGGAATTCTGTGAACAAAAAAAATGAACGTAAAATTTATACCGCAGTTATTTCTAGGAAAAAAACTCAAAGGAAAACTTATACAAAAGTCACATAATAAAATATACACTCAACAGTCACTGTATTAGGTACACCCATGCAGGGACGGACTGACCATTCGAATACTCAGGCACCGCCCGAGGGCCCGGGGTCAGTAAAGGGCCCATGAAATGCCCCCTGGTACCTTTTATAGGCTTTTTTGAGTGTAGGCAAGGACACAGGGGCCCCATGATCCCTTATTGCCCAGGGACCCAATGAGTTGTCAGTCCGCCCTTGCACCCATGTAAATTTTCGTTTTGTTTCGTTTCGGATGCATTTGTTTACAGAAACGGTTTGTGTTACGTCGCTGAGTTACTTTAACTGACAATTGCGCCGTCATGCAACGCTGCACCAAAATTAAATTTACGTCCTTTTTTCCCCACGAATTGAGCTTTCTTTCGGTGGTATTTGATCGCCTGTGCATTTTTTATTTTTTGCGCTATGAAAAAATAAGTCCCACAACTTTGAGGAAAGAAAACAATATTTTGGATTTTTTGCTATAAAACATGTCCAGTAGAAAAATGTAAAAATCTAATTTCATCATAAATTTAGGCCACAATGCATTCTGCGACATGTCTTTGCTAAAAAAAATCCCAATTAATTGGTTTATGTGAAAGTTATAGCGGTTACAAATGGCGGTATATATACTGGAATTTGTATTTTTTTTTATACTAATAATGGTGGCGGACATTCTGACACTGGGGGGGAACTGACTTGGGGTCACTGACATCCCCAGTGACACCAATACAGTGATCAGTGCAAAAAAAAAAAAAAACACTGACACTGTACTAATGGCACTGGGGAGGAAGGGGTTAACATTTTTAGGCAATCAAAGGGTTAACTGTGTGAGGGGAATGTTTCACTAGGGGGCAGGGGGTGTGATCTTCACAGTAACACACTGTTCCGGCAAGCGAAACTCTGCTCTCCGGAACAGTGTGCTGGGAACTGACAGGGAGGAGAGCTGCAGTATAAACACTACAGCCGTCCTCTCTGTCAGTGTTTGCTGGCAATCGCCGGGCTCCGGCGGGTAATCACCAGCCGGGACCTAGTGATTGACACCCGCGATCGACGACGTGGGTAGGACGGTCACGCGCCTCGCACGCACCCCCTACCCGATATGCAAAATCACACATACTGTATATGTGATTTTGCGCAGCGGTCCTGCCCTGCCGCAGTATATGTACTGTGGCTGGTCGGCAACCAGTTAATTGAAGAATTTTGTTTCATCATAGTCATTATGTTGACCTGATCTGTTTTCAGAATTCGTTTTGTATCCTCGGCATTCGTTTCATATACAGTATTCATTGGTCATTGGTAGATTCGATAAATGTTGCAGTTTTTCCGGAAGATTGCTATGTATTCGATATATTTTTGAAATGGAAGGATTCAGTATTTTCGGACGCTAGTCCAACCTACCAAGAGAAATGGCATAAGCTGATTGGACAAAATCTACTGATGTTATGTGCCTTAACAAATGGAATGCAATTCAGATCCATTCGTCATCTGAATCTGAATTTGAAAAATGTAATTCATTCCCCCATGGGCCCGAACTATTGTCACATAATGTGACGTTATCCAATTTTTTTGCTATAACCTTTTTTTTGGGGATTTAAGGACATTCATTATTATGTCCTTTCGGAGATTTGTATCCATCTGAATCTCCAAAAATTACATTTTTGCCTAAAAAAACTCGTCAAACAAAAAAAATTAAACGCACAGGTCTCATGCAGAATGATCAATACAAGGTGAGGCTGGCTGCAGTCCAACACCACAACCCAACGGTGTTCAGGGAAAATGTAATAACTGGAGCCAGTGGAGTCATAAGCGAATTTTAAAGATCTTCCACCTAAACTGAATTCAAAACCTTGCCTGACTGGGTGCCTCTGCCAACCAGTACTCTTGCCCCCAAGCCCTTCCAGCACACCAATCGCTAATACCAGCCCTTTACCCCAAGCATCATACACAGACAAGATGTTGAGGTAAAACCAAAGGAATAGCTGTTTATTAAACCCCAGGCATATACTTTATACATGGCTCCTGAGGAAGAGGCAAGTCCTCGAAACGCGTCAGCTTTTGGATGTCTAAACTCCCTATTGCGGACTGTTACTCAGCGCGGGGTGTTGGTCCAGCTGTTCTTTTATGATGTGCCTTGACTATATTGTCGTTTGTGAGTACAACACCTACTTTATTATTTTTTTATTAAACATTTTTTATGGTAATGCACTAGGCCTGTGCGCCCTCTTTTTGTTCTTTCCCCATTAGTATATTTGGATTCCCCCGGTCCATTTGAGGGCAGCAAGGTGTGCATGTTCCAGGACATTCTTAATGTGGTTTGTAGCATCGAGTCCATCCCCAAGCGCAGGAGCATTTTGTGTTTGCTGGTTCTATATACTTTATACTCCCAGGAGGATATTGCCCTGGGAGTATAAAGTATTGGTGTCAGTGGGAGGAATAGTGCCCCATCATTAGTGTCAGTGTGGGGAGGAATAGTGCCCCACCGTTGTTGTTAGTGGGAGGAATAGTGCCCCACCGTTGTTGTAAGTGGGAGGAATAGCGCCCCATCATTGCTGTCAGTGGGCGAAGCTCTAATAGGAAGAGGTGGAGCCTAAAGAGGAAGGGGTGGAGTTTACAGATGAAAAGGTGGATCTTAAACAGGAAAGGGTGGGACAAATTTAGATGAAGGGGGTGTCCGATTTTAGTCTTGCCTAGTGTAGCACAAAACCAAAAAACACCACTGGATATTAGCATAGATAAGATGTACAACCAGTAAAAACATGACAATGCAACCTTTAAACATTAATCTAATTAACAGCTAGGCACCTAGACAAGTCTTATCAGTATGACTAGTAGTCACAGGAATTCCCCACCTTGCCCATCTTGCCACCACCAGCCAATCTATGTGCTGGAAATCTTGTCCACGGTAAGTCTTGACTAGGCAGGGTATGCCCACCAGGATGCCCAGATACAAAAACGTTCCACATTACACCACTCGTTTCTAAATGTCCCACCCCAGATCCAGCTCAGATATAGGTTACCAAGTGGAACATCTTTGGCGGAAATAATATAAAAAGTTAATAATATAAAGTTGATAGTAGCCTGGGCAAAATGAGCAAATGCTACATTATGCAGCTCCTGAGGACCAGCCAAGGCAAAATGAGAAATATGCCCAAGAAAAGTTCCATATCCCTGGCTGGTGAAGGTGCGTCTGCACGATCTGTCTGACATGATGTCCCCGCAGTGTTCTGGGGACTTCCTGGCCACATAATCTCAGAAAATACTCCGGGCCAGCCAAAGGGTTTCAGGAATCAGCTCTCCTCCATGCTCTGACCAGGAGACGCAGACAAAATCCCTGGTCTCCTCCATGAGCAATAATTAGGCTAGCCCAAAGTCCCCTTCAAAAGCTCCTGATCTGGTTGGGCCTGTCACAGTTCAATCCCTTAAAATGTAAATCTGAAGATTTTGATGAAAGTCTTATCAGTATGGCTAGTAGTCACAGAAATTCCCCACCTTGCCCACCTTTCCACCATCCAGTCTATGTGCTGGAAAACTTGTTCACAGTAAGTCTTGATTAGCCAGGGTATGCCCACCATGATGCCTAGAAAATGTTCCACAGCCCCGGATACATAAAAAAATACATTACACCACTCGTTTCTAAATGTCCCACCCCAGATCCAGCTCAAATCTAGGTTACCAAGTGGAACATCTTTGGCGGAAATAATATAGAAGGTTAATAATATAAAGTTGGTAGTAGCCTGGGCAAAATGGGCAAATGTTGCATTATGCAGCTCTTGAGGACCAGCCAAGGCAAGATGAGAAATATGCCCAAGAAAAGTTCCATATCCCTGGCTGGAGAAGGTGCATCTGCACGATCTGTCTGACATGATGTCCCCGCAGTGTTCTGGGGACTTACTGGCCACATAATCTCAGTAGACACTCCTGGCCAGTCAAAGGGTTTCAGGACCCGGCTCCCCTCCATGCTCTGACCAGGAGACACAGACAAAATCCCTGGTCTCCTCCATGAGCAATAATTAGGCTAGCCCAAAGTCTCCTTCAAAAGCTGATCCGGTTGGGCCTGCCACAGTTCAATCCCTTAAAATGTAAATCTAAAGATTTTGATGAAATTTCCCTGTTTTGCAAAGTGCATTAGAACAATGTGGAAGGTAAATGAAGGTAGTTTTTAAGGCCGCAATGGGCTTTAAATGGCTTCTGAATGTTACAGCAGATCCTTTCAGCTATCCTGAATCAGTTTTTTTCTGTTAAATTAGAAAGCTGTGAGGAGTTGGTTAAAAATTTGATTGAACCCAAAGTAAAATAATAAATTAGAGAAGCAAATGATTTTTCCACAAGAGAGAAGAGGTCCAATGCTTTAGGACACTAGAAAAAAACTGAGCTCTCACGGAGTGAGGTACATTCACAGGGGAGGTGCCCAGATGGGTGTGTTCAGCAAAGCTTTGACAGTGTCCAACCTCCTGAAGGTACCAGTCCATAGCTCAGGGTCTATGAATATCCATCCCGTGTCCTCTGCTGTATGATTAAAGCCGGTCGTAGATGGACC